CTGGAAAGCACCTTGTTTCCCACTTTTCCCCTCGGCCACTCTGCAATGAGTGGCATTGACAGGATGGCTTTGATGTGTGACACTCACGATAGAGGCATGCTCCATGCTGCTGATAACCTGACCAGAATAGCATGTGAAAGAGCAAGGACATGCGACTACTTTTCATGTTTGGGAATGGGTGTTTAGTCCACTTCCAGCAGGGTGTAATCAGTTTATGTGAAAGCATATAGTATGCAACCACGTGACAGACAGAAGCCACTTTATCTACTCTGCCGGCTGAGCTACACCAGCTATCACTCAGCACTGGGAGGAGTGTTCACCACTGTTCACACCACAGCATTCCAGCCATAGCATCCTCTTCTCTACTGTCAGTAAACCCAAACAGCCAGCTTGACTCAGAGCACATGGGCAACCTGTAATCAAGCTTGGCCCTGAACCTGGCATGTAAAAGTAAATCCTGTGTTTATATCCGAGAGAGGCCTCCCTCATGGAGCGACTTACTTGATCTTGCACAGGAAATACACAAGATGATGTTAAGCTTCAAACCAATCTCTGGGATTAAACATCTTGACAATGGCCCTCCACCTCTTCTCTCTTTCTCTGTCTTTGTCTCTTTCTCTTGATCTGTGGCAGTCTGCCCATCTCCGGGCCCCTGTGCTCTGGTGGGTTCAGTGAACTGGTATGCAGTAGGAATCTTTGGATCAAGGTGATTTCACGCTCCTCCACGTTTTCCCAGGGCTTTGGGCGCTCTCTGTTACCTCGGTGCAGCCCGGAGTGTGTGATAGCGGCTGACATGTGTTATCATAGGACACATGCACGAATAGCATCGACAGGGTAAGACTACTTCATCTGTCTAACACCTCTGCTTCCCTCAAGTGTCAGGCTTCGACTGTCTGGTATGTTAGGCTTCTTTAGCCTCTTGCGGAGAGACCCCCTTTGGACAAAAATACTGACCGAGGGATTTGTCAGCCTCTCCATGAACATGCAAAGGGATAACCCTCTGACATGAAATCTCAATTCTAAGATGAATCCTCTCAAACATACACCCTCTCCTTTGAACTAGAACTAATCTTGCTAACCTTGACATTCCCTCAGAGACAGTTCCCAGTCTCACTTCACAGTCTGCTCTCATAATAGCTCCACAGTGCCTCTTTTTTTCTCTCAATGAAACTCCATATCTCATTCAGCTCTCTGGTGGCAACTGTGAAACGAGGAAGTTTGTGAAGTTGTTCCAGTGAGAAGTGGTTCAGTTCAGCTCTTGTCATTCGGTTGAGAGCTCTGACTGTGAATATGCTTACATATGATCGGAAGCAGCACATGTATATGCGTGAAAAGATTTTCTTTGAAAAGGAATTTAGCACTTATGAAACAGAAAAAACACACAGAACTGAAATGGCCTTCAGACATCAAACGTGACAGGGAGTTGACAAACTCATGACTTCCTTTTCTATTATAATCCTACCTTTTTCAGATTAGATCTTGTTTTAGGAGGACAAACTAACAAACACTTTCAGACATCCTGGAGACACCATAAGCACTCTCTGCAGATTTACATGTCCATCCCCATATTTTCATGCCAAAGAACTTCCTTTATGGAAAACTTTTCCCTGGAAAGGGATCAACATGCCGTCCACACCCTTTGCCATAAGGATGACTGCAACATCACACGGTGTCGCTTGGATTCCAGCTCATGTGGCAAGACTATGACCTAATTAAAAGCACCAATGGTTTCAGAGAGGCTGTGTACTGACTGTAAGCAGGCGATCACACATCAGATAGTGAACAAACTGCTGCTGTGTACCAAGACACACATCATAACAAGACCAAGTGTCTACAGCCATGCCAGCTTTTCTGTGAGGATGTACTTAAACTAAATGCTGCCGTCAGCATGCTAACATGCTCATGCTGCATTCCATTTACCTCAGAAGTCTGGGGTTGGAGCTGGGAATGATGTCACACCCGACTTGACAGCCTTCCAGTTACAAGTCGGAAAGCCTCGCTTGGCCAGCCATTGTTCAAAACTAGCCAGATTAGCCATTGTTACCAACGCCGGTTGATAAAAAATGCATTACGCAGTATTTATGCATACTAAACACAGTAGCAACATGTCCACGGACAGCAGTTGGACAGCACTATGTGTACGAAAATTTCTATGAGACACAAATACACAGAAGTGCTAATATACAGTAAACTACAGCTTTCATTAACTGTTAATAATCGAAACAGCCATCTTGGATCAGGAAGTCGGGTGTAGTGCGGTTCCCCCAAGATTTCAAGTTGGAAATCCGACTTTAGGGGTCGTTCCAGTTGAAATTTTCAAGTACAACTGAAAAGCCTCATGACAATGACAATGCTTACATGCTAATGTTTAGCAGGCATAATGGTCACCATCTTAGTTTAGGGTGTTCGTATGATAACATTTGCAAATTAGCTACAACAATAATTGAAGAAGATGGGAATTAATTTAGCATTTTGCAATGAATATTTTTACTGTAGGATCACAAAAGTGGTCCCTTTGGTGATAGACACCCATGCACTAATGGGTGCATCAAATTTTATGACAATCCATCCAATAGTTATTGAGACATTTTACTCAAACCCATAAAACGTCAACCTCACAGTGAAAAGGAACGCTAAAGAAAAAGTCAGAGGATTTCCAAAGTCATAAAGATTCATCGTCTGAGGATCATGAATGTTTGTACAAATTTCATGACAATCCATCTGGTAGTTGTTCAAATATTTCAGTCTGGATCAAATTGGTGGATCAACATGCTGTTAGCTGAGAAATTTAACAGCAGAAATTATTAATGTCACTGAATCCCTACTGATAAATGATATAAAAATAAGAAGAAGCTTAGATATCCCCAAAAATATACAATAGCTTCACTTTGGTGGTGATTTGCCTTTATTTGGACCACGACAGCTAACCAGAATGAAGCTTAACTAGCTAGAAGGCATCCAGCTAATCAGCCAGCTAGCTTCAAACATTGCTGCTGTTGTAGTCATTTAATATCTTCAATAATTAAAATTAACTCACAGTAAGTGTAGTTTGTATTGTCACAATTAGGTTGATGAGAAAAAAGTTTGAATGTAAAACCGAACATGTGTTCATTTGTGACTGTAAGAAGAAAGTCCAGTGTTATGAGTGAAATGTTAGTTGAATGAGAGATATTTCCTCTCCATTTTCAATTAGAAACATGATCCTATTAAAACTGAGTAGAAGATTACTTTAATGCAGATGGTAGTCTGTAAGCTAGCAGCAGAGAACCAAAGGATTAGGAACTCTTCATGCACTAATGTCTGCTTGTTAGCATTTGAGGGAGAGTATTAATAAGAGTTTTTTTGCAATCAGTCTCTGGTTCATTGCAATGTCCTCACATATGTCAGGACATCTGGGTTGGAGATATACATAATGGCATACAGTGCAAAGTGCTGATTTATACCATAAACTGCATATAAGAATATAAACTGTCTATGATTTGTACACCAGTCATGTGGCATTTTTCCAGTTTTCAATACAGCAATATTCTTGCTGATGTTCACTCTTATGCTGCCTCCAGAAAAGTTAATATAGGCTATATAATAAGCCCCATATAATATAAGATCTATTTTATTTACAAACTGGGTGATTTGGGGGCTTGAGCAATCTTCTTTCAGGGGTCAAGACAACTGCACTAACCTATACTAACCTAACTATAAAGTGACTGGTATTTCATGTGGTAACTATTAACAATTTTTAACTACTTGTGTTTTTTTCATGATATTTGTGTCAGAAGCAATTCACAAATTTGTGATATGAATCTCATATTTATTCTGTTCTGATCTGATCAGTAGACTACATATATTTGTTATTCATATTTTCCCCATCATTTTCTACTTTTTTCATAATTACATAACTTTTTCATAATTCAGTGTTTAGCTCTTCTATGTGTTAGTAGTTCTCCTCATGAATGGGTTTTTGAATTTCACCATCAATCCTTTTTTAAGATTTATTATGTTTTATTTTTCTGTTACTTAAATAAAAAGATTTATATATAATAAAAAGAACTACTAAAAATAAATGCTTTAGTTTAATTTAACTATGTTTAAGAGGTTAGTTGTTGTATTATGATAATGTCGCTGCTGATTATTAATATTATTATTATTATTATTAGTAGTAGTAGAAGTAGTATATCATCATTATTATTATTGTTATATTATTATAAAGTGCAAACTAGCTGTGTCCTAGCATAAACAACTACCCCACCAAAGCTTTCATTACATACATTATTATTTTATGCAGATGCGTCTAAAGGCACTATAAAATTACTAAAACATAGCCTATATGTGGCCTTATTACTATGTCTGTTGTTGTTAATATTGATATTTCATGCAGAGGCATCTAAAGGCACCATACAACTACTAAAACATATATGTAATAACTATGTACATTGTATTTGTTTATATTATCTCATTCAGAGGAATCTGAAAGCACCATGAAACTACTAAAACATATACCGTATGTAATTACTATGTCTATTGTTGTTATTATTATTATTTCATGCAGTGGCATCTGAAAGCACCATAAAAGTATTTTGTAGTCTAAAGCAGATGGAGATCTACGTCATGTTCGGCGTGTCTGTCTCTTTCAAAGAAAGTAAGAAAGTAGAGCACATATACAGACTAAATAACGAGGCCGGAAGCCAATCAAGAAGTTCATAGAAGAGCAGCAGTTAGAAGAGAAGGCTATGTGCAACAGCGGCTTTTATTTTGAAATCTGTAACCGGATTTTGTATTTCTCGGCGTGTCCTCTTTGAAACCACAGAGGAAGCAGCACACTGAGAGGCAGCAGGACTGGAGCAAACCCAGCAGTCTCAGCCTCATGCTTCATCCTGGGCACTTCTCCTCCTCCTGTCGACAAAATTGTGACAATATTTATTATTTTTAATTTTTAATCTTTAGCTCAAAAACAAACAAAAAAAAAAACCCAACACGAGAGGAGGGGGAGAAGGGGGCAAGTCATGGAGCTTTATTGCCTGGAGTCGGACATAGCCGTGAAAGCCCAGCCTGACCCAAACATCCTCTATGATGACAGAGTGTTGCAAAGTTTATTAACAATTGAGGACAGGTTTTTACCTCAATGCTCATATTTCCAGCGGGTCCAGAAGGATATTCAGCCTTATATGAGACGAATGGTTGCAGGTTGGATGCACGAGGTTTGTGGGCATTTCATGCATTGATGAGCTAGCGTTAACGTATCTTAAGCTAATGAGTTGTTTTTTTTTTTTTGCATGTTTACACACATCGTTAAGGTAACTTTAGCTCATAAACTGGCTGATTTTAGCTCATACAGAGTTGTCATGCTTGTTATTTGACAATTGAATGAGAATGAGTCACCAAAGGCGTGGGAGAGTCGGAAATTCCACCACGAAGAAAATTCAGCTTCAAAGAAATAGCCTAGCTAGATATTTACATTGGTTAACAGCTAGAAAGTTGGTACTTTTTGCTAACTTGCTAGCTCAGGCGTCAGAGGGAAGTTAATCTTAATTTACATGATCGAAACCCCGACGTTTCCTCTTCATAATAATTATTATTAATTTTATTTAACCAACTTAAGCTCGTTGACTCTGGTCGGACAACGTGCATGTGTAACCACTTTCATTTTTGAACATAAAAAAACACTTCATGTTAGCGAAATATTCTTTTTTGTAACTGTCGGAAACTATTTTTACACAACTTCTAAACATTGTGCACGCGTTTTAAAGCTCCTGGATGATATCTTTAGATTTTTAAATATTTTTTTAAAAAGATGAAAACCCCCCAACAAGGAAGAGGAGTTGAATGGCGACGGATTTTGCTGAACGACTTCCTATTGAACTAATTTGTTTCTTGCCTTGCCCAGACTTTGCAGCCTTTGACTGAGTGAAGAGATATCAAATATTTGTGATTTAACCTTTAACCCAAGAGACAGCACTAGCATGGAAAAATCACAGCAAAACCACCCTCATCTTAAACTGCTCTTCTGCTTTAAACCATAGCCCAGATAATAGTCTAGGTTCTTTTATATTTTCTTTTACATATAACCTAACATGTATTATTCTATTTTTGTTTCATTTTAGGTGTGTGAAGAGGAGAAGAGTAATGAAGATGTCTTCCCTTTAGCCATTAATTATTTGGACAGATTTTTAGCAGTGATGCCCACAAGAAAGAGTTATTTGCAGCTGCTGGGGGCTGTGTGCATTTTCCTGGCCTCAAAGTTAAAAGACTGCAGGCCGCTATCAGCAGAAAAACTTTGCATGTACACAGACAACTCCATCACACCACGGGAACTGCTGGTAAGACCTGGAATTTAAAAAGGCCCCATTCATTCATGAGAGGATAAAAATGCAGTGTCATATTTTGGGATGATTTTATAATGCTAATAGCTATATTGGTTTCACATGAAGTATTCCATTTTCCTGTGCACAATACAGCCACATCCTTAGGATCCATGTAGACTGAAGAGGCGTGTGATGCCATCTAGTGCCAGTTATGCAGCATGGAATTTGGATATCTTGCAGTACATGGAGCTTCTCTGTATCTCAATTAGATATAGAACAGTATCTACTAAAAGAAAAGCACCCAAAATAGTCTTTTTTACTTTCCCACATATGTATGAGTATTAAACACGAGGAGTATATCTCTTTATGGCATTCTTTGTTACTAACATGGAGCTTATTAAACTAACTTTTAGTGTGTGAAAACTGAGCTATTTTTGAGAGCAAAGTAGCCGTCATATTAGAGCTGCAGGTAATGGTTATTTTCATTATCGGTAGCTTTCTGAAAGAATCATTTGTTCTATAAAATGTCAGAAAATTGTGAAAAATGTCCCCACTTTCTAAATCCGAAGTTGACATCTTCAAATCGCTTGACTGTCTGGCTAACAGTCCAAAAACCAAAGGTATTAAGTTGTCAAAACATCCTCAAGGTCCACATACAAACTTGTTCTGGAGCTTTCTACCGTATCAGCAGATTAAATTAGCTCAGTTGCAGTGTACCTCTAGATGTTTGGGCTCCATGATTCTGAGAAATTCAGTTCACTATCACAGAGCTTGGATCAAAAGTATAGCTGAATTAATTAGTTTATTTATCCATATACATTTTTCAAGCAAAAATGCCAAAAATTCTCTGGTTTCAGAGTCTCCAGTATGCATATGTGCAGCTCTTAATTTTCTTTTGTGATGGTAAACTGTGTAACTTTCGGTTTTGGACTGTTGGAGGGACAAAACAAGAAATTTAAAGATGACAAATTATAAAAAAAAAACACATGATGGCCATTTTCTGACATTTTGAAGACAATGTAAAATTGTTAAGACAATGATTAGTTGTAGCTCTAAATAAAAGCAGGTTTGTCAGTCGACTAATCCGTAAATCAATTTGAGGCAAGGACTGCTTATTTAGACCAAACTGCTCCAAATGCTCTCTATACATCATCCTGTGTTGCCTGCAGCTGTTGAGGGAAATGACATTCGTCCCATTGGATGTTCCATATTGTCGTAAGACTCCAGATTCCTGGATATCCTGACAGGATGCACAGAGATGGCAGCAAGAGCCAGTGAAAGATGTTGCAGCTCTTCCTTGTAATGAACACTCTGCTGCTGCTGGTGCTGCTTCAGCTGGAAGAGAGAGGTTTAAGGGGGTGGAAGGGCGGTTGTTTCGGGGCAGCTGTCCAGGAAGTGAGCACACCGACAGCAAACCTCCGCCCTGCTCATCTCAAAGTCAACAATCTCCACAAGAGCTAAAATAAGTTGAATGCAAGGGTGTGTGTGGCAGGTTATGTACAGGAAACTTATGTAAATGTGAGTGGTGGCTGACATTTCAGAAGTCAGATATGCGTTCGCTGACGGGGGGGGGGGGGACTGTCCCTGCCAGCATTGGGGTTTTGGTGTTTACTACGTTTGCTTTTTAGGTGACACAAGTGAAAAGTTTAATTCATCAGCAGTAATATATCAGTGTAAAAAAATGTTCAATATGTTGAACAGTTCACTCTCTGAGTTTAGTTGCTTTTGCTTACTGTAACTTCACATGGATGTAATCATAATCTTAAAAATGTGAAGCAAATTAAAAATGATTTATTGATTATATTTATTTATTTCTGTTTCAGCATGGCTGCTCCTTAGACTTAATACACTTTAATTAGTATTTTCATCCATGTTTCTCTGCTACATGTGTCAAATTAAAAGAAACACACACACAAAACTTACGTGTGTGTCTTTGTAATGTGTTCATGGGTAGCATGAACATTAGGAATTATTCAGGATGGTCTATCTGCTATCTGGTGACTGACCAGTCCTCTACATATGGCAGACATCATGGTCTTGTTTTTCATAACATGAAGAGACAATATGTGACTTCATGAGGGACCAATATGAAAAATCAGGAAATGCGACAAACTGCCAACTTTTACAGACCTGTTCTGATGCCTCACTGCAGCCATATGTTTTTTTATGGATATTTAGTAAGTTCATGAGAAATGTGGAAATTAGATCGATAGCTGAGCTTTTTTAACCAACTTCTGTGCTCAAATTCTTTCAGGCTTTTGTGATTTTGACTAAAAAGCCAGCATAGCAGTACACATTTTTACATCTTAAAATACAAGCATCAGTACACATTTTCACTGTGTGCAGTTACACCTTTTAAACCTTTGAACCTTTTCTATAGATACTTAAGTTGCCTCCGTCTTGCTATTCTTGCTCAAGATACCAAAGGCCAAACAGGAAAACAATAGTGAATTGTTGAACTGTAAAGATTGACTCAACACACAGGAAATTAAATCATGAAATGCGCACTCCTCCCTTGCTGGTGCAAAAGCTGACTGTATGGGGAATCAGCTCTGTGCTGCTGCCTGTGCAGTGCAAACTCATTGTAGCTGTTTGAGGCTTGTGACAGGAAGGAAGGGGCTAGCTGTCTCATTGGCAAGGCCTCTAAGCAGGGTAAAGCTTGTCACATGCCAGCGATATGAATACAAAGGATGCGAGGAATGAGAAAGGCATGCAGATAATAAGATACAGCGAGGAGAGATAAAGTGAAGAAATGTTACTCCCCTTACTGAGCCATTTCCTCTGGGAATAGGGACTGTGATCTTTTTCATGGTCAATGGAGGCGTGGCAGCACGCCATTTAACCCTATTAGTAAGTAGATTTGGCCAAGAAATGGATTTGAACTGATTGACGGATTTTAAAAAACATCTTTCTCTCTGTCTTTTAGGACTGGGAGCTGGTTGTGCTGGGGAAGTTGAAGTGGAACATGGCCTCAGTCATCCCCAATGATTTTATAGAGCACATCATACGCAGGCTGCCCCTTCCCAAAGACAAGCTGGCGATGGTCCGCAAACACACGCAGACATTTATTGCCCTCTGTGCCACAGGTAACACAGCTGCATAACATCTCATGTGCCTTTTCTTGGTCGTTTGCTCACTCGCACGCTCACTTTGCTGCCTTGTTATTCCCACATCCACTAGAATATTCCCACACACACAAACATTCTCCCGTTGTGAGTCATCTGTGACCTCTTTCTTCTCTTCGAGTACTCTACCGGCTGCCTTATCCACTTTCTAGTCTCTCTACCACAGCCTGTAGTAGGGGTTTTTCTTCACAGCTGCTAAAAGCTGCTCAAAGTGATGACATCCACATTTCTCCTGGGAATAATCTGCTGTATTTCGATAAGCCACGTACACGGCTAATGATAGCGATTGTATTATACTGTATGTTGTACTCCAGCATATGCACAGTGTGCTGTATGACTCAGGTGCAGCTGAACTCCTTCTCTACTCGCCCTGTATTGTTTGTTGACGGGGAAGCTTCCAGGTTTAAAAAGTCAGGGCAGTGATCCAGTGATCTTCCTTCCTCCTCCTATCCCGGCCTAATGTCCAAAATAAACTCTGGAGGAGCACAAACTCAGATGTCCCCTAAGGCCTCTCTCTAGGTGAATTTTCATGGCATTCCTTTGCCTAAACTAGGAATCCCTCTAATATTTTCATATCCTGGACAGAAACACTATTGCAGGATCATTTAATACACATAATATACAATGGTCTTCTGTCACATGGCTGCCTTTCATTTGGTGCCTCCTTTCAACTAATTCAGTGATGGAAATAATACAAAGGAGGTCACTTCAGTGCAATGAAATTCTTAACAAATGCCAGTGCGGTCAGATCAGTCCAAAAAGCACTTGTTTACTAGAGCTAGTTATTAGAACCATAGGCGAGTTTCATGCTCCGTTAAGCACAGTTTTAGTGTCACACTTTTTTTTTTATATATTTGGGTGTGTTTCAGTGGCCGTCTTTGCTATTCATAAGCAGCTGGTTATATCCTAGCACAAAGCAGCCGCAGTGGAAAAAAAACGAGGCCTGCTGTGGTTATGCAGTAATGTAAATGTTTGGAGTTTTATATGGAGTTGAGATGTTATTCTTATGATGGAGGAGCTCCTCCTATGGACAGCTGGTCCCCGGAGGAGAAGATGGGCGTAGTGAAGCAGGCTGCTCTCCAGGGTTTAATCAAAGCTATCAGGCCACCACGGCTGGTTTGTACTGGGGTAGGACAATGTGCTGGGTTGGACTTCTACAGCATTTAACAACTGTGTGTGCCAAGTCTCTCTCTGCCCTTTAAGATTAGTGTTGGTCATGTCCATCTGCTGAGAACAGAAGAAAGCTGTGTATTGTACTAGTGGGAAAGCCTCTAGGGGCTGTATTCACAGAACATCCCAACAATAAAAAAGTATTTCCTAACTGGCATTAGCGTCAGTCCTTGAGTGTCAGACACTGACTTTATGTCACTAAGACCTTTTCACAATCATTCAGCTGCTACAGGTAATGTGCCTCGTTACATCAGAATTTTTCCTAATATTCAAAGTAAATTAACTTTTAAAAGCATATTTTGATGTTATGCAATAAATAAATGATGCAAAAATAATGGAGTTACAAGACACCATTATTTAGAAAGACAAAAATGAAACAGAGGAAAAAAAGACACCAGAAACAAACTTGGCCAACTTAAAAGCATTAAAATCCAACCAATCCATTTTAGCGTCGTCAGTGCACCTAAACATTTCTGGATTTTGAACAGACATTTCATTTAATATAATTAGCTAATCACATGCAAGCTAGTGAGCTTACCAACAAATAGAAACATCTAATCTAATAAGAGTCAGGTTATGCTTGAACAGTTCTAGTTCGTATAATGCATTGCATAGCCTTGTAGGAACAGCCACACTCGATGGCGGAGCGAAAAGCCAGTCATCTTAGAGAAGAGGGATAAATTATATATTTTTTAAATGGGGACTGCAGCCTATATTTTAAGACGGTCTCTTGTGGAAACCATTTGCGATTGTGCAGTATATTGGCAACTTAACACTGGAGCTGCGTCAGTGCAGTTTGCAATGCTTTCACTGAATTATCCATCAAAACTGATATATATGCTTCTCAAAAACTGCTTTGTTCTACAATTTTGTCAAGTGAACATAAAATACTTGAACAGCTATAAATACATTTAAAAATTATTAATTATTATACTCCTAGTGGTGAAATAAGATACTTTGTGATTACGTCCCCAAGGGTTTCTCATCAAGGCAAGAAGGTTTCATCCACAGCCCCTCACGAGCTGTTCAAAAGCAGCTCGGTACTTGCAGAGGTGTACTCACGCCATGGCTTCCACCTCCTCCGTCCAGGCCTGTTGTTGCTTAAGCCTTTAGACTTGGATACTTACCGGAGGGAGTTGTTCCTGGAACTCATTACGCAGCGAGTAGGAGGATTCCTCTGCTTTTCTAATCAGAGCTGACGTTTCTATGAAAGAAACCACACAGGTTACACCGTTACAGCTACGTCTGTTGAAACCCAGACTGTGGGAAAGTCAGGGACAGCAGTGGAGCATGCATATTGGGGATGATTCAGATTTTTTCACCTCTCACGCATCTCTTCTACTTCCTCTGGGCTGATTTAAGTGTTGCAGCTCTTCGTGTCACAGCTACAAGTGCAATTTCCGTCTGCCACTATGGCCTAAAGTTGCTGCTTGACTAATTGCACATTAACACTCTTTCCTCACCAGATGACCGCCTTGCCATGAACCCTCCTTCCATGATTGCCTCTGGCAGCATGGGAGCTGCTGTCTGCGGCCTTCAGCTGGACCACACTGACCAGAGGTTGAGTAGAGACAACCTGACAGACCTGCTGGCCAAGATCACCAACACAGAGGTGGTGAGTACAACAATGAAGGGGATTTAGACCCAGCAGAAGTAATTACTCAATAGTTTTAGTGCTACACAACAATGCGTTGTTAATAATAATCATTGCAACATCTCACGACAGCAGCATAAAAGGCCCTTTAGTAAACAACAGTGATGACTTCAGTAGTGGCAGATTGAAGCTATTTACTTTTCATGGAAAGAGAAGGAGAGCAAGCTTTTGGCTCTTGGCTGTGGAGCCAGACTGTTGCTATAAAGAGCAGCGGCAGCGGGAATGTCTTCTTAAAACTCAGAGCCCACATTCTTGCGGTAGGACACATGCAATTTCTTTGCATGGCTCCCACTTTAGCTGTGTACCCCTCCTGGTGGAGGAATATGCTTGTAATGAAGTTGAGGACTTCTATTCCTGAGCAAAGGCCAATGAAAAAACTTATCCAAGCTGTCCGCATACCTGCAGACCAACACCTTTTGGATGACTTTATAGAGAGATGAAAACTCGACTTTAATGTGTTGGCAGAATTATAGATAAAGTGGGAGTAAATGGATCCTGAATGCATTACTGAATATAACTCATCATAATGAGCTTATGTATATTTGACCAATGTGCAGTTTTACTGTATACAGGTGCTGTGTTATAAATACAATGGAGGTCAATGGGCTTCCATAGACTTTAATGCACTATATCGCCTCATTACAATTCATAAAGTATATATGTCATCATACTGTGATTATGTAATGCTGATGAGATGGCAATACTGAGCATTTTGAAATATCAATGGGGGCTGTATTGTATCCAGATGCTATGTTATAAATAAAATAGGAGTGAATGGGCCTCCACAGACTTTAATGTATAACCTCATAACAATTCATAAACTATAAATGTCATCACAGTGAGATTATGTACAGTTGATCAGTTGGCAGTACTGTGCACTTTTCAAATTTGATTGGTGTTTTTACTGTATTCACTGGCTTAGATTTAAATACAATGGATTTCTATGGCGACTTGGAAATAATATTAGTAACAAAGCTAATGTGCAATTTGACATGAATTTAACAATCACACTTACTTAGAAAAAAATAAACTATTTATGCCACATTTATCCCAGTGTGTGCGCATACATTGTCACAGTGAGTCATTGTTATACCAGAGGAACAGTTCAGACGCCTAGAAATCCAAAAAGGCCACAACCAATGGGCCACATGAACAGCACGGTTTCCTCTTTAGCTTGTGGTTACGTTGCCACGGTGACGAGGGCCCCGCAACCCAGCCGTCACAACAGGCGCTCCGACTGCAGCCCATCGGGTTCCAATTATCCGTACATTTCAAAGGAATGTTGGCCTCTTTGTGAGCCTCGGTTCATTCTTTTAAGAGTCCTGCAGCCGGCTCAGTGAGGCAGACCTCCCACATTTTCCACACAGACCTGCAGAAGAGACGGAGACAGAGAGAGAGAGAGGATCCCCTTTCACAAGAGAAGTTGTCCAAAAACATCCGGTCCCACTGTCCTATATTCTATTTTACACCCAAACTCAGAGGGTCAGGGTGCAGTAGGTCAAAGCCATTTCCTCTGCATGGGACTGACCATGCTGAAAACCCAAGTGGGGGTGGAGGAAGTGAGTTCAGATCTGCTTATCTGTTCCATGATAGACCACAGAGCTCTTTCAGGAGCTTTGCCCCTACACATTCCCCCTGTATTCATACTTTAGACATGCGCAGGTCTCATGTCGGAGACGATTCCTGTGCCCACCATGTAGCTCGCCACACTGTGTTGTTGGTATTGGAGTGTGCTGGTACCCATTGTTCCTGGTCATGATCCAGACAGGACCACCTACCTCAAGACGCATAATTCCCTGCTGGTATGCCATGCATGTGACCATAGCTGTTAAACAACTTGCACATCAGTTGTGATGAAATGCCAGATTTTTACAAACTAGTGTCTGCGTACAGGTGTACAGATGAAACCCTCTGGTGTCTGTCTATTCATCGGTGGAAACACTGAGCATGTTTAATTTATTATTATTTATATAACTTTTAGGAACATCACGTAGAGACAATCTGAGAAAAACAGTTGAAAGTACTGATGTGGGGGCTTTCACACAATATCATGTATCTCTGAAGACATGTAAATGTAAATCTCCTGTATTTGTGTATATAAATAGTGAAAACATTTTTTACAACATTGAACTTTTCTATAATATTTTGAATGATTATGCCTCTAAATTTGTACATTTTTTATAAGTTCCTGTATAATTTTCCTTCTATTTGTTGTTTCTGGCAGCTTTACACTATAAAAGTCAGATTTATAGATCAGTTTGTGTTGAAAAAATGATTCCTGGAATGTGGAATAAGGACAGTTTAAAAGGTGCACGACCAAAATAAATGTGTAGAAATTCGGCAAAAGTTAACCAAAATGAACCTGGACTCCAGAGGGTTGTTGTCTTGGTGTGAACGACTAATCTTTCCTAAAGACTCACTTGTAACTCAAGTGTGTGAATGTGTAACAACGTCTGACTCTTTGTTGCAGGATTGTTTGAGGGCGTGCCAGGAGCAAATAGAGCGTGTGCTGGCCACCAGCTTGCAGCAGGGCCAGCAGTACCGGCAGGAGACCAGTGTCAGAGCAGGCAACAAGGCAAGGGAGCAGCAAGACCAGTCCAGCACACCCACAGATGTACGGGATGTCAACTTATGAACCCCCCCATGACCTCCCGACTCTCACACACACCCACCACTCACTCCTGTCTACCAATGAACTAACGGGAGTGAGGGGACGTGAGCTGCCGGTGTCTGTCAGGTGTCCACATGAGCGATGGTGTGACGATCTATGAACTTTTAGAAAATAAGAAATTCCTAGTTTTTTTTCTCTTTATTTGCCCCATTCGTACCCAGTTGGCTGTACTCTCACCTTTTGTACGGACCACGTGTAATCGAACAAGCTATTTAAAACGGTAAATTCTTGAAAACTTGATAGTGCCTTAAGTTTCCCAGAATGGAAACCTGAATATATTTTCATACTTGAAAAAACAAAAACAGCATAATTATATGAAATAGACGTATTTCTTTTGATACAACATAGCAAAAAATAAACATGATAAATAATGTATATTTAGCTAGCATTTAGTCATGTTACTCTTTTATCATCTTTACAGAGAAGTTATCAACTCACAGTTTAATGGGGTTTTCCTCACCTGGGGTTCATACTCATTTGTGCAGGAGAATTCCTATAGTAGTGATTGAAAGGCTGATAATACAGGACTTGGCATTTAAACCAAGCTGATTTCCAGCCAGAGGAGCGCTACTGTAGCTAGCTGCTCTCTCGCTCTCTCTCTAGCTATCATACTGTGCACCTGTAGCACTGCTTACTATTTATGCTGAAAGGTGCTGACCAGGAGTGGGCTGGGCCTGCTCACAGAGGACGGACATGAGGCTTTGAGGTGTGGAGCAGTGGCTACTGTTAAAGGTTAACAAAGAGGACAAGGTCGGTTATTAAGGTCTTGATTTCACTGCCAAATCCACAGACCAATAAAGCGTGTTTATAGGATGGTATGTACATGTATTATAATTCAGCTAGGCTACATTATTATTATTATTATTATTATTATTATTATGTTCGTGGTCTGGCTCCTATGTGTTAGAGAGCAGTTAAGACTGTTTAGTAGTTGGTTTGCAGAAGATTTTAGCCTCAGCTAGGAAGATGTCATGTTAATAGAAGCAAAAGGAGACTTTGCAAGTTTTTTTTTTACCAGGTTTGAGAGGAAACGAATGCAGGTTGAAGGTTTTCTTGTGAGGTTTTTTTGGAAAAGCATGTGGAAAGTAAGGGAACTGCTAGAAGTCTGGATTGATGGATGATATTTAAAGTGCGGGGAAGTTAACCTAAGCTATATAATGTTTCTGCAGTTGCACGATACTTGAGTGACTCACAGGAGGAGGAAGAATACCCGGTGATGTCTGGGCGATTGGTTTAGCTGTGCTGCAGTTTCTCCTGTTATCAATTTTTACCATTAACTTTTTTGAGAGTTGGGCGACTTGGAACAATATTGATGCACTTTTAAAAACACACTCCTTAAAAACGGTAAGGGGATGGTGGTTGAGGAGAGTTCAGTGGGTTGTTAGGGTCTTTTTTAATTTTTGTAATTTTTCTTTTAAGTTATTTGATTTTTTTTCTGGGCTGGATTCCCATGGGGTAACGCACGGTGTCTTGAAAGCTACACCCCAACAGGTGAGTAGACGTAGGGTAATCGGTGTTATAGTATATACAACAACGGAATGGAGTCACTTGTAGACTTAGATTTTGTTTTCCATTTTTTGTAATTATTTAACCGTACTTGAATTGTTGTTAATTCAATAGCCAAAACCTTCCAATAGTTCTTTCAAACAGTTACACTTACTGTGCCTAAAAATTCTTTTTTATGTAAACTGCTCTCTGAACTCTCATTTTGTGAGTTTTCTCCACTAGGTAGGTAGGGGTTTACATGATCTATATACCCAAATACTCCATGAGCAAATATTCTAGAAATCCTCATTGCATTTTAGAACAGAAGTGTTTTTTCTAAATTGTATTCATGCATGTTCTCTTGTGCAGAAAGCCAAATGTCCCCCCCCAAAAAACTGCTTTAAACAGAACCAATGTTTATGCTTTTACAGGTTTTGTGTATAATTTGAAAGCGATTATTCCAAAGTGAGAAAACTGTATTATACACATCATTCTCTTGCTGCTATGAAGCTTTTCTTTTCTAGTCTTACACAAAGATGCTTTATTGTGATTCACTTTTGTGCTGCTATATTATGAAATGTTGTATATGTAACAGGTCTTCTTTGCTTTTCTGTTGTATGTGTACTGGAGGGAACGTAACGCAGTTTGGTGCGGGACTGGAAGTACTTTTATTTGCCGATCTTTTTGATTAGCATGTTTTATTCTTTTATTATTTCATTTGTATCTTTATATTCTATCATATTCTTGCTGCTTCTTTGTAATGTTTGTGTACCTCAGGTTAATTTGGACAGATGGAGCGAGAGTCCATCTCGCATTACCTCATCAAACTCCCCATCACACACACACACGTTTTCACTCTGAATTTGTTGGACGGGTTTCAATTTTTTTTCTGTCTGAATGGAAACAAGGATGGTGCTTCTTTTTAAATCAAGAAATGTCTACCGCCGGGTTTCCACTGAGCAATTATAAGTAGGCTATTTCATATATCTAAGTCAAAACAGCCTGTGCTGTATGTTATACATGTATCAGAAAGACAAAAAAATATATATTTTTTCCTACTTGGAGTTTCATTGGGATGTTTCAATCAGTTCATTGGAAAAAAAAGTGGGAAATTGTTTATTTTTGAGGTACTCATTTAGTCAAGTTTAAACCACAAGAATGTTTTATCATCGTTCAATGTGGTTGTTAATCCATACTCCTCTCCCACTATCCCCACGTGGAACCACACAGTGTACCTCAATAATTTGTCTTCAATAAATTGGCCACAATCATTTGACTGTCTTCCTCTGTACAGACTGGGGTCTGCACCTCTGTAGAAGTACCACTAGAGGGCGACTAAAACTGAAAACATGAACAAGTGGTAACGGAACGTGTGTTGCTGCTTTCAGAATCAAATATACTTATAATAAATCAGCACACAGGCCTGCATCTGATCCGATCATAGGCAAGAATTTAAGTAAAGTTAAAATAAACAAAAAGAAAAACGTGCACAAAAGGTCAGGGGTAGCATTGCAATAGCTTAAAGCAGAATAATGAAGTAATAATATATAAATGAATAAACCGAACATTTTATACATTTGTCCAAATATTTACATATTGGTTTGAAGTTTTTGGAATATTTTCTATATTTATAGTGAACACTAAGACTTTTGTTCCTGACTACATCCTGTGTAGCTTTTATTGATTGTACCTTTTATTTTTACTAATATTTCACTTTTTTAGAATTTGTCCAAGCTTTGGATACCAATGAATATGAAAAGCACTTTTGACAGTTAAACATCATTAACCTCATAAAATCTGTTACAAAATTAAAAAAAACTAAACTAGCCAACACATGACCGTAAGTGTCTTATATACATACAGGCATATAATGCTTAGGAATACAGATTATTTTTTTCAGATAACTTTATTTTACTTGGGTAATAAATACATAAACACAGATTATTGCATATAGACTTATTTTAAATAATTCCAGTGTAATTTCAGTTTGTTAGTTTTATAGTAAAATATAGTTCAAATGAAATGACTTCGTTCCTAGATCTTCTTGATAAACCGGACACCAGACAAAAAACATAATCTAAAGTGTAAGTGTGCAATAACCAATCAAATAACAGTCACTTGATTGTTCGATGTCATCAATGACATCAATATTGTATCAATACAAATGGGAATCAACAAAAGTACAACAATGAAATAAAAAAGTGACTAAAATATTAAAAGTAATATATGAAAAATGAAATGATAATACAACTGTATTCAAGTTATCACACAATACAAAGTTGTAAAAATTTAAATATATTAATTATATAACGTAAAAAAAACAACGATATACATACCTTATAAGTAGTTTTCTTTTTCAAGATGGTCTTTTATTTGTATCTAATAATAATAACAAAACTACTAATAATTAAAATAGTAATGATAAGAAGAAGGCTCGGTCAGATAATATATTTTCTCAACGCAGCTCTGCAATGCGATTTGATTTGCGTGATGACGTCACGAGGCTACGTAAGCTACGTAACTATGACTACAGATAATGGTGATGACCACGAGGAAGTAACACGAGATCCGCTGCTGAAAATGTTTACATTTAGTTTAACGCTCGTACGACAGTACGTAATTATTTAAAGGCTTAATTTTCCTGTATATCCTCAGAGGACTTGAACATGAATAATGTGACTGTATCCTACAGCAACAGTTTGTCCTGTGTGTGTGGTAATGAAGCATGGCGGCTGAATGTGTAGCTGTACCGTTAGAGTAACGTTAAACGACCGAAACAAGAACAAATAACGTAGCGAGTATTTATATTGTGTTTCAGTCTTTGCAAGCCGTTTATTTATAGACATAACTACTAGCTTGTCGTCACCATTACACAGATTGATATGTTTAAGCTAATTCATTGTTTTATTTTCACACAGTGGGGAAACACGGTACAACAGGGAAAAGCTGCTGCAAGGTACGTTGTTAAAGTCTGTAAGCTGCATCTCAAATGGGAAACTACCAAAATAATGGTCATTGAAACAATGATTACAAATAAAAACACCTCACATTTTCTGTTGCAAGATTTCAGCTAGACAGCTGGGGTGAAATCCTGTGGGTGTTCCATGTTGAACTATATCAACTTTATTTATATAGCACACTTTAAACAACCAAGGAGCTTCACAGGGTAAAAGTATAGCAAAAAAACATTAATTAGAATATACAGTATATCATAGACCATATGATGTATAATGATGATAAAATTGATAATAACTTTGTTAACTTGAAGGAAATGCCAAAGAGAAAAATGATGTGTTATTAACAATGATTTACAACACTTTGGTAGACTGGATTATCAACTTGCAGTGTAAATTGACTGAATACACTGTTTTTTAGGACAAGGTGTGGACATGCTCTTGTCTGAAACCGGTGTGCAGCAGGGTGAGGCTGTAGGACGATACCTCAGTGACATCACATTCAACAATGTGTTTGCCAGTAACCTACAACGAGCCATACAGGTAAGGCAGAGTCATTCACATTTGGCAGGGTTGTTGGGTTACTTAGGCAAATGACTATAACAGAAACAGCTGGGCAAGTGGTCCACCATCTGGATATCACACACAGGTTAGGTGACAGTGAAAGAAAACTGTCAGAGCCCTCCTACCACTTGCATAGTGGCAAAATAGGTGGTTTATATTGACTTAATACACTGTAAGATCATGTAGATTTGTTATTGTATCTACGTGTAGTGCTGTTGGAATATTAACTGATATGTCTGGTGATATTCTAGAGTTTTCTTTTTGTCAAGAAATTCCTCAGAGGACCAACATTGAAAAAAACAATTGTCCAAAACTAATGAAAACACATGAATGTGCCACACTGTCACAACACAGTTGCCACACTGAACCTTGGCACTGTAGTTCATTTTGAGTCAATCTCACGTACACTGCCCTGCTGCTATGAATACTCATGCACTCACAGCCCAACAAATGCACAGTTTACTCCTGTTTGAGTAATGTTTGATGTAAACTACTATGCCCAGACCATTTATCCTTTTCTAAAAGTGAGACTATATATTTGTGACCCATTTTTAAAGATGTGCATCTTCAGTAGGAATGAATGGGCTTTGGCTTGAAGGATTGGTCTTCTATAGATAAAGATCTTATATAGGGTATGAACATGAAATGTGGTGATATTTTATATATTGTTGGTGGAACTTCTTATGTGGGTTAATGAAATTTCATTGTGCAGCAGCCATACATCAGTGACCTTTTTTGTAAAGTCATTCCAAACCTCACACATTTTCTTTAACTAACTCTTGCGTGAATATTTCCCTCCATAACTCTCTGTCCTTATGTATTTTAAAACTGCATATTAAGGCTACAAAGATCTTAGCTCATACACTAAAACTACAGGCATCTTAGCCTTAAGATGCTTTTGTAAATGGAGGATAAGTAATACTGAGTACCAGTTTCTGACTTTACTGTCATCATTCACAGTTAAAACATTAACCTGTGTTAAGCTCATAGGCATGTGTTTATCACCTCTGTATTTGTCTATAAACACATAAATATGGTAAACTATTGAGCCATGAAAATATGTAGCTCCTTTATTTCTCATCAGGAACAATTAATTCTGTCAAATCAATAAAATGTCGCTGTTTTTTTCTCCTGATTGTGAAGGGAAAAGCTGGATGAATGTGAGAGACTTCCAGATATGAAATAGTTGTGTGCACATTCATGTCCCTGTGGTCTTTAACTCACTGATGCATCATCCTATGTAATGTATTAATGGCCTTTCAGTTTGACCACATGTGGCAGATTCTTTTGGTAGTTACACATTTATTGAGTCAGTAATTTCCAGATCACACTTCCTCTGTTAGACAGCTGAAATAATTCTGAGGAACAACACTCACTGTTCTGGCAAGGAGATGATTTTGGAGCCGTTACTCAGAGAGAGGGTAAGATCTGTTGTCTATGTACTGCTTCCAAATATTAAACCTTTAAATATAGTCGTGTGCTAGTTTGCTTTCTGAGCTCTAAATTGTGGTTGCGTTGTTAATGCAGGGGTTTGGCATTGCTGAAGGACATCCCAAAGAGGATCTGAAGAACATGGCCAACGCTGCTGGCCAGTCGTGTCGTGACTACACCCCTCCAGGAGGAGAGACTTTAGACCAGGTGAGTCAGGAGTCATCATTTGGAAAGTGTTTTTTAAAAAGTTGAAAACTTGCTTTAAAACTCAAGGTCAAGAGCATTGATTGTGCAACAGCGCCATTTAGTGCCCATTTTATATATTGCATTTCAAACTCAGATAAAAATTGCAAAAGTCAGTGTTGTTGACTTTTTTATATTACTTACAAAGGGTAATGTGGAAAGCCCTGAAGCTAATTGCTGTGTGCGTGTCGTTATTGTTTAATGACATATCTCAATAATGCCAATTTCATGAAATAAGAAGATTAAGCATTGTTAATTCATTTTGAGGGTGTTGTATAAGCCTAAGAGGAAGTTTTTAATCAATAGTGTGTCTGAAAATATGGTGATACACACCAATCTTGTGGCCCGATCCAACAGACGAGCTACTGTAGGTTAAATTGTTGAAAAAGCTGATCCTGGTTCTGATAGAAATATGTCAGAAATACACAGTGGAGTCCATGCCTTGACGGGTCAGGGCTGTCTTGGCGGCAAAAGGGAAACCTACATTACGACCAGCAGGTCTTCATAATGTTATGGCTGATGGGTGTATGGTTATCACTGCACAGCGACAATGTGGGCCTACTTCTTCACCTTATCCAAATGCTGGTAATTTTTTCACTAAACAATTCCAGGGCGATGTATTAAAATATCTTGTTTTGTCCAACAAAACATTTCAAAACTCAAAGATATTCAGTTCACAATGATAGAAAACAGAAAAAACCCCAGCAAATCCTCACTTGGAGAAGCTGCAAACAGAACATTTTGGATACTTGCATGAATCAGTCGTATCGCTAATAATTGGTGTGTCGATCAAGTAACTGATTAATCAACATACCATTTCAGCTATATACAATATGTACAAGGACAAAAGTATTTAAAGAAAACTATAGCTGACAGATAGCAAAAAGAGATTCAGACAGAACACCCTCTCAAACCTGCTAGTGTTAAGGATTCGTTTTGGTTTGAACCTTCACCTCTTACCTCCGGTTCACTGTCACCTTGCTTCCAGGTGAAGCTGCGATTCAAAAGATTCCTGAAAGTGCTTTTCAAGCAAATGTTGGATCAACACGGTGGGTCAAGACCAGATGCCTCTGCAGAAGCATCAGAAGCTGGAGACGCCACCAACGGGACTGCAGCTGCCGCCTCAGGCGTCGCTTGTGGTGGTTCGGCTGACGACGGTCTCCAGGGAGTGCCGGTCCACGCTCTGGTCCTGAGCCACGGCGCTTACATCCATGTAGCCATCAAGCACCTTGTAGAGGACTTAAAGTGCTCTCTGCCCGCAGGGGTGAAGATGTCGCAGCTGTTTTCACCCTGTCCAAACACGGGCGTCAGTCGCTTCATTCTCACTCTGAGCCAGTCCGAGTCCGGCCCGGTCCTCACTGCAGCTCGCTGCTGCTTTACCAACAGGAAGGATCACCTGGAAAACCTCCCAACTGCTAAAAAGTGTTAAGAGAAAGATAGAAGTTTTATGTATGGAGTACTGTTTGTGTGCATATGCACACAGTTTTTGACTGATTGAGGAACAATCATGAACACTAAAGGGAAATAAGAGGCAAAGGCCTCAAAGTTACCACAGGTAACTGAATCAACAATGCACATAGTAAATTAAGTTTTCTCAATATTCAATAGTGTTTTATTGTGGATCAGTAGTGAAAATAATTGTGCAGTACTGTACTATCAAACAACCTCATTTTCCTCTGAATTATGAGTCCTTTCTGTAGCCCAGTAAGGACTTGTACTTTTTTTAATGCTGTTCTTTTTATTTATCTTATTTTATTATGGTATACCAAAGTCAGTCACTATTTAATGTATTATTGAACACTGTCAGTAGGTGTGGCATTTTGAAGTTGATCATGTCCTTTGTTGCAATTGTGGTGCTGCCCGTTTTACTTGTGCAATACAATATGACATCAGTAATCACTAATTTAATATAAACAAGAAATTGGGTGCTATAGGTTAACAACAGATAATTCTTTTCGTTTCCAGCACCTATCCCATTGAGGTTTTATGGATGTGTTTCATGGTATTAATACATTTTAAAAAAAATATTTTGACACGTCGCAAAGGCCACAGGCTGGATTTGAGTCAAGCTTGTACATGGAGCGCTCACTCTACCAACTAAGTCCCATTTATTCATTTTTTTTCATTTGGGTGTTTGTTTATATTTATCACTACAGACTGCATAGATGTAATGTATATTCTGCTCATTGCCACATGTTGATGGATTCACATTCACTAAATTCTTATCCAGTAATTGTGTTAAAACAACACATCATGCACCTGATATTAAAGTCTCTCAGTTTAACAGACAAAAAGAGGCTTAGTTTTTCATGTTCATCTTCAACAACAGTTTTCTCTCATCCTGAGTGACTGTAAAAAGTTTAGGCACCCTGGGGCCCTGAACTGCCGTCACTACTGGACTATGAAGAGCTTTCAAGGAGCTTCAATATGGTGCTGCTAGTGCTGCATCAGAAAAATGTCTTATGTCCATGGGTAGAGTTAACAGCTGACCTTTAAAGCGAAATATGCTTAACTTGACACCATTCTAAGGGAGCCAGCAGTCGCTTAGCGTAGCTTAGCACAAAGACTGGAAACAGGGAAACCGCTAGCCAGGGTCTGGCTGAAGTTCCGCCTACCAGCTCTTCTAAAGCTAACTAATTAACAAGTTATGTATTGTTCAAAAATAACAAAACAATGTGTAAAAATAAGCAGTGGCTGTTTTACGGGGGTTCTGGCTAACTTCCTGGAGTCTGTGCTGCTTCCTTGGCAACAGCGGAGGTGTATTTCCCTGTTTTTTCTATGTTATTTCTACTATTCTGTTAAAAGGTCAAAGGTTAATTGGTGCCATTACCAATTAACAGTGGACCTATTTAACAGTTAGTTACAGTAAAAATGGCACTAAGTGTATTTTTAGAGTGACATGACTCGGCAACGCATGTACCTGTTTGCTAATTAAGGGGAAGAGGTGTGACAGTGCAGGATACTAATGAGCAGAACAGCTTAGTAACTGGGTCAGTGTTAAGCACATTCATGACTTCCTGTCAGACACAGAGTGCTGGAACACCAAAGTTTGGAAATTCACTGCTATAGAGGTTAGCATAAAAAAAACCAACACAATACATGTTTCCTTTATTAGTTTATTTTGTCCTAAATTCAAGCAACACCCCGTCCACAACTCCAACTCATACATTCAAAGACAAGCCATGTTTTCTTTATATGCAGGCTATATTTACTGTGAAGCATCCTTATAAATACCATAAATAACAATAAAGGAATGGCATTAAATAAATAAATACTCATTGGGACCGGTTTTTGTGTTTGCTGGTGGTGCTCAGCACCTGTAAAAATCACCCGAGTTCAGATTTGATATCAAGAGTACTGCTCTGTAAAGGGTGTTTACCCTGTAGTTATATTCCTTCAAGTCATGAATTAGATACAGATACATAACTGTGATCTGTGGTTTTGAGAAGTTTTTGGAATTGCTGTTTGTACGTTCAAAATATGACAATAAACAAACTTCAAATCTTCTATATCCAACTCAGTAAACTTAGGACTTTCAAATATAGGCAAAACTTAACCTTAACATTACTAAATGCAACTTAATTATATTCATGTTTGGGCTATTGTGGTTTAAAATAACGCCTGCCTAGTTTCACCTCAGTAAACATGGCCTTCAGTCATCCAGAGGTTAAGGCTAAGTTAGGCTTCTGTCTTGAGATAACATCCATGTCACTTTGAAATGTGGGGTTCTCAGACCAGCTGTAAAAACCTCAAGGAGAAGGTACACATGCTGACTTGTCTCTAGTGTTGGGATTATTAGTTGCTAAGGCTTTGTTTGCTTTTCTTATATTCCTGCATACCTGCAATTTCTCATTTAAGCTATAGCTCAGTGAGAGAACTAATGGATGGGAAAAGGATTTGGATCACTAATCTTGGCTCATGCAGAACAAAAAATTATTTTTCAGTAATCTGTTTCTGAGGAGAAGTATGTAGGCCTATCATCTAACAAAACTGTTACATGTGGTGAAATCCCTGTCCACATTTATCACCATACAAAATAATCATTATTGATGAGATGGATGCAGATAAAACACCTATCCCTTATTGATTTAACATACTACATTGGCAGTGATCTCAAAGCAGGAGATGCACAAAGAATAGATTTTTAACACTATAAATTGTGCAAAAGGGGGGGTGCAAGCAGGTCTAATGTTTGTAGTCAGTTTGAAACCTGAATGCTCTCAAAATAAAGTCTGTTAATGCTTTTTTCTCCCATATGATCATAAACTACAAGGTTAATCTTTGACCTCGTTAGACAAAGGTTAAGAGAGCCCCCCACCTTGGAACATCCGTATCAGTCACCATTAAAATCACCCCATGGTCCCGGTGCTCCGGGGGCTGGCCGGGTTGGACGAGTGCACATTCCAGGGGTCGTGGGTCGACAGAGCCAGCGGCGCCTCCCGGGACACGTTGCCACCATCGTCCCCGGCCTCCACCTCCACCTCCACCTCCAAGTCGGCGTCGTCCTCCGGCACGGCCCGAGAGTCCGAGCCCTCCTCGGTCTGACCCAAGTAGACGTTGTGCGGGTCGGAGGGATCCACCGCCTGATTCCTCTTCTCCCTGTGCAGCAGGAGACGCTCCAGCGGAACCGTGTTCTTCTTGGGCAAGAAGAGGGAGGTCTGCGGCAGGTTCTGGCCAGCTGTGAACACCTGCCGGGATCCCTCCAGGTTAAATAGGATGCCGGTCCGGCTGGAGTAGTACACGTCCCGGTTATTTTCCAGAAGTTTGTGGTTGAACAGGCAGTCATCCCTGAGGCAGGTAGGCTGAATGGGAGAGGGAGAAAATTAAACTACAATATTGGAATATCCTAGTTTTTCAGCAAGATGTTAAAGACCAGTTTTGTCAGCTTTAGCAACCTTTTCAGAATAATGTCATCATCTCTAAATAGACTACTGCCCCGAAAATGCCCGACTTAAAAAGGTTTTATGAAGTAAATCCATTTTAATTATTTTGCAAAAACACACGAGAATATTGCACATAAAGGTAGGGTGAAGATAAATTCCTCATTTCCAGTGATTTCCCTTCTGTCTTGGTTCGGTACTTTGTCTCTCTTTTTCTTAATCGTCTCTTTGTTTTAAGGAACTAGTCTACTATTAAGAAGTGAAAGTGCTTTCTAGAAGTGAAATAGCGTCGCCACTCTTAGCAGTTTGTTTACTTTATATCAGTGAAATCATCAAAAATAAATCCAGTGATTAAAGTCACGTTTAAACAACCTAGTTTCAGTAGTTCTTGTGCGTAAAGGATAGAAAGCAGTGTTCAAAAATATCCCTAAAACCCCACAATGATGCCAAATATGAACACAAAGCAACCGTTTACGGGATCGATTCAGTTAGTGACAATAGTCCTGCTGAGTGATTAAAAATATCAAGTAAATTGATGTTAAGATATTCTAAGTTGGCAGGACGTTCGTGCGTAAAATTAAGACAGAGGGCGAAAAACGATGAACGACGAACTCAAAAGTAAAGGTTTAGTTTGGGAAATCAATTGAATTAATAGTTACAATCATATACACATTTGCTTACAGAGCTGAATGGGTTGCCCTCCAAATCCATACACAGGTAACGGCTACTTTTGACGCCCAGGATGGCAATGCGCTCTCTTGTTTCAGCTTTCAGTAAAATCACACCTGCCGGGAAGAAAGGGCAATGGGGCATTAGATTGTTAAAGACAGACCTTCATATTGCCATATTACAAAAATTAAACGGACAGTTTTGAAAAAGAGGAAGGCATATCTTACTATATGAACTCCTGACTGTAGTTTTGCGCACAGTGCCATCTAATCTGATCTCCAAGTAGAAGTTGTTGAGTTCTGTGGATGTCTGCAGGTGAACATATCTCCTTGGGTTCCCCCAGTTGGATCCAACCAGCGGCGACGGGTTCGGGGCCGTTTCACCGAGAGGAAATCCCTGGAGTACAGCGAGTAAAAGCGCCAGCACAGTGTCCCTCATCCCCAATCTGCTGTTGACGTCCATCCTGTCAGCAAACCGGTGGTTTCCACTGTGAGCTGCTGGAAGTTTTCAGATGCTCTGTTGTCCCAACGTTTGGAGACAGTTCCTATTTAAAGCCCACCGAGTGCCACTCCTGCTCACATCCTTGGCGTAAAAAAAAGAAACTCGCCCCCAAAGCAGATGTGCGGGTTTGCTGCAGCGGAAGGGCCACTTCCACCTCTGTCTGTTTATCCCAATGTTGTTGGTCAGACAGGACTCTTATTTTTGGTGACAGGTCTTGACTCATCCACCTTAATTATTCTATTTTCTAAGACTATTTCCTAATGGTCCAGAGACCACTGGGTCGGGTTTTTTTGTTCAGCCTGGAAACATGGTGCATTGGGCAATCTAAAAAAAGACAGAAAAAAGTAAACAACAAGATAGGACTCGTGTTAAAACATGTGTTAATTAAATCAGGGATAAAATATACTGATAGTTCCGACTTACTTAAATGGACGTTTCCAATTCGTGCAAACTCTAGAATCATTGATTAAGGAATTGATTCGTAATTAATTAAGCGTCATATTAAATATTTTTGAATTGGACGTCTAGTCTGAAGTTAGTTCAGGGCTGCTTTTACGCACTTTCCCACCTCAACATTTTCACCATGTCACCAGCAGAGGGCGCCACTCCCTTATTTAGTGTGATTTTACTGGGAGACTGATAAATTACATTTGACTGGCCAAACTATTTTTGGACGTTGTACTTCCAGCATAGAACTCATTAAACTGTACACCAGTATGAATACTCCTGAAACTGGATCTTGTCTTTGGGAATCCATGAGAACTTTTCAACAGGGTCTCTTAAAAAAATGTCATGTTAATTAAACTCAAATCCCACTTCCAAATGTAGAAAAGCTGGGTAATTTAGAGCAGTTCAACCATAAATTTGCAAAACACACACAAAAAAGGTTACACATAAACCAAAGTAACTGGTTTTGCATATATTAAACCAGTGGTTCCCAACCCATGACATCTTACAAAAAGCAGTAGCTGGGGGCCCTTGTAAGGGATGTTTCATATTTGATTTCCCCCATAAGCTATAAGCATGGTTTCATCTAAATAATTGTTCAAATCCCAAAGAGGTAGAACATAAATGTGTGGAGCAAAACTTTTTCCCCCTTCTTTCCTGCCACATTAATCATTTTATAACCCCTCAGATTTATCTTGTGACCCTTTGGAGGGGCGGGTCCCACAGGTTGGGAAACACCAGACCAAATTAGCTAACTGCATCTGTGGTAGTTAGGCCTAGCTCCACTTCAAGAAGCTACAACAGTACTTTTACATTGATGCATATGTATTAACACTACTTTCAAATATCTGTTGGAATACTTTTGACTGAGAATACTTTTGCACTTTTATTGAAGTAGGATTTTGAATGCAGGACTTTTGTGTTTTTATATTGCTGTACTGGTACTTTTACTTGAGTAAATGGTGCCACATGACATCAGAGTTCAGCTGATCCAACAGAGAGAAAGACACTTTAGAAGCAAGCAGTTAAAAAAAAAACTTTTATTGTTATCTCAGGAATACAGTAGACTGCTGTGCACAGCACATACGTACAAAAATAAAAGGAAAAAACTTTAATATCCTTACTTAGCATTGTCTGTTTTCAGAAACAAATAACTGAAGTTTGTTTCATCTTAATTTACAGTCATCAGCAAACCAAAACTAAGGCAGAGGGTGAGGTATATGAAAACAGAGATGAGAGGAATACAGTGGAGGCTCACTCCCTTTTAGAGCAGGAGTTAAAAAACACATGAAGCACACACCCCTAATTAAGTTTGGGGCTCTGGCATGCTAATATTACATTAAACATTATAAAAAAAGATATTCCTCACCTTGAATTAATTCAAATTTGATCTATGATAAGCTGTGGAAAAAAAAAAAAAAGAGACGACAGATAAATCTGGATAACATTTTTTGGTCAAAGCTGAAAGGAGGAGCTTTTTGTTTTTGACACAGACCTTCACTCTTTTAGGGATCCAGCTCTACTTCTTGATGCTAGCTTTTAATCAAGATGCTGCTAGTGACAGCAGACATCTTGACTGTGAGGTAGGCAAGAGAAGTGCTCATTGCTGTGCATGCGCAAGGTTCACTTCCACACCTTCCTCAGTTGAAAATGCTGAAAACATAAGATTTGTTTTTTTATATGCTACCTCAGCCAAAAATGATGACCATTTTCTCCCAGCACGAAATGTGCATCAGTGGTATTTCATGCAGCCTCATTTACAACTGCAAGTCTTTTTGTTTGAGCCAAGCTCCAGATACATTTGCTCTGCTGTGTTGCATCACTTTAGCAGGAAATAGAAAATGTCCTTGGAACAAAAAAGAGCTAGAGATTTATTTAAAAAATACTGTTATGAATTGATCTGTGCGCCATAGACAGCTGAGCAGCAGGTGATACTGTGTCAGTATGTGGTATAAGGTGTTTGGGGTCGGGGCAGTGCCCAGCAGCAGCAGCAGCAGAGGGCACACCCTGAGGATGGCTGGGGTGCTGTCCTGCAGGATTGGAGTGCAGCAGGAGAGGTGAGGCTCTGCGTGACTCTGCTCCTCGCACACTGCATTAACTCTGCAGATGTCCCCTCCCCAGAAATATCCCAACACAAGTACTTGGAAAGGGGAGGGGACAGCATTTTGTGGAGCTGCATTTTAAAGAGGTTAGGCTCTAACTTCATAAAGTAGGATTGTTTAAACATGATTGCAGATTGTGAAGCAGGGTTCTATTAGGAGCTATAAGAGCTTCCAGTCAGTTTAAGAGAAACTCTAAAGCCACCAGTTTACTCAATTATATTGCATTTAAGCATAAAATAAAGTACTTCCTGCATGAAAAAGATACTTTAAATTCCTATTTCATGGAAACGGTATGAGCCATATAGCCGACCACCCTGGACTCTGGGGTTAGGGCCAAAGCTAGTCTGTGACTCTGACCTTGAACTAAAAAAGGCTGAAAGGAGAGGAGGAAGCTCCTGGGTTACAGCTGGAATCCCAAGGTCCTGCCTGCAGCGGGTGAGAGGGGTAACGGACAGGCAGAGGTGGGTGGTGAGGGCTGACAGAGCTAAGAAGGGGGGGCCACTCAGGTATGTGAGAGGCTGCCTGTCATCCTGGCAGATCCACATTCCTGCAGGGGGGTTTGACGAACAACAAAGACAGTGGGCCGGCTCCCGCACATACGTCTGTCCTGGATTTAAATAGTCCTGCTTCCTCTCGGAACGCAAGAACGGATGGAGGCTGATGGTGAAGCAAGTTTTCAAGTAAACAGCTGCAGAAGCTACATGGGTAGATGCACGCTGTAAGGCTCTCAGAAACAAAGTGAAGCAAGAAAAACATCATTGGAATATGTAACAAGACATTATCTATATATTAGTCCACATTATAGCAAAAAGTACACAAAGCATGGTACATCCTCAGCTTTGTAAACAAACTGCCACTATGCATACTAATATTTATGAATATCCTATTATATATTAACTTTCTGGCCTTCTATGCCCATGTTTTACCCCAAAATGTAAAAAAAGACAGAAGTGAGGACATTTCTTATAGCATGCATCCAGTCCACCAACTGCACTGTCCTTGAGTCCTTTGGGGCACAAGATTGACTTGTCCATAATTTAATTTAATTTAAAACTATCTGCCTCCAGCTCCCAACACCTCGCTGCCACTGCAGTGCTGCTGCAGAGCACACAGACAAGTGTGGGGATATGGCCCAGGGCCCGCACATACTCCACCAAAAACACACAAAGATAAATTGAAAGAGAAGACAAACATGTGGGAACGATTCTTACAGAAACATTTAGGCACCATCATCGATGGTTAACTGTGCAACCTGAACTCTTTTTGCCTCGTTCAGGCAACTGCGACAAAGCAGCGTAAAAAGCTCCTGAATTCTTCTTTTACACTTGCAACTATTTACAGTTTTTCATTGGTTTCATGGACAGTAGACATCATTTTCAACAGCAGCTAAAGCTTTGCGATTCAAAAACAGCAACCTACTTTACTGTAGGATCTCTGTTCAAAGACAATGTGCAGGTACATTTCTACTGTGCGCTCACAATTTATCCCTTCAGTCGATTGTTGTGCAGGCGCAAGCCAGGTCCTAACAAAAATGTTCTCCATGCTTGGATAGATAAGTAGTCCACCCTGTTTATTTGCTGGCGATGCCACACAGTCAAACTCATGGCCGTGAGCCAGTCTCTATGGCTGACCATTCTCTGGTCTCGACCACAGATTGTATATTACTTAATCGATCTAATTACAGAAAAGAAAATAAACCAGAGATAGTCCCCCCCACCCCCGAGGCCCTCTTTGGAGCGTCAGCCCTATTTCTGACTCCAGCGGGTGTCTCTTACATGCAAGTTTAAGGGGGCCACAAGTGGGAACACCAAGGCACCTTTAAATCGTGCAGCAAAGGTAGTGCATTTAAGTTTCCCCCACTGCCGGACATAGATAATCGAGCAGGGAGCCATCAAGCGCTCAAAGGTTTGCAAGAAATTATAAACTCAGCAGATATTTGAGCAGAAGCCCATGCATCCCTTAATCTAGTAAAGTGGTTCTTTGAGGTAATAAAAAGTATTCATTTCACTCTTTAAAAGCACAGGATATAGCTCATCGTCCATCTCAAAAAAGGAAGTGACACATCGTTCAGATACAGCAAGCACCAAGGTAAAGTGAGACAGGCAAAGGCTTCAACTCTCCCCGTCCATAAAAACAATAAGCAGCACAGTACATATACAAAGATAGCTATCCAAATATACATATATATAAACAGAATAAATATTTGTGTTTTCTTTCGCAGTCCATCGGTGTGTTTATTGTGACTCTGCATTTCTATGTTACCTGGAAGAACATCCACATGTGCAAATGACTGAGTTATTGCCAGTTTCTCTCATAGCCGTGGGAGGAAATGTGTGACAGTCATGGCGGTGGTGGCCTTGTTGCCTCTCTTTACGCGGCCATGCTTGCTGAGGGCGATATAGAAGCCCTTGTAAACAAAAGACTCATAGGCGTTGTAGTTGTTGGGCAGCAAAGTCTCCTTGAACTTGCACTCATCCACAAAGACTCTCTAAAAATGCCCAACAAATGAGAGAGAGAGAGTCAGTAAATGACAGACACAGAATGAACATCACAACATATGCATGGTTTCCACGTGACCTTTACTTTGGCAGACAGCCTGCCTACAAAGCATGCTTTAAGGGAAACTGGAGGAGGTGGCATGTTGTTGCAAAAGAAATGCCCCTTTCAAATTCAGATACCAGCACCCTGCTTTTACTGCTGAACTCATAACATAATCCCAGGTGGGCCAACCAGAAAATATTTAAAAAAAATTAATATTCCAACTAACTCAAAGAAGAAGTGCAACTAAATTATCTTTAATCAAATGCTAAACCATATGTACAGCATTAGGAAACACATTATGGTTGAGTAAAAGCTCAGAAAGTTTGATACACTGTACTCTATAAAATGCATATTTCTGACCACATTTGAAAAAAATAAATGTAGTTTTATATCCTTTATTACAACCATAGGAGTGTATACTTTGACATCTTCTTATGTTAGTGTCAATACAATACTTAGTAAACAATATATATTTTCCTAAAAGTAAGATATTGAAAGGACATTTTTATTTTTATTTAACAAAATAAAGCTTAACTTCTCAAATGTTTATCAAACACAAGCAGCCATAAAACAACTCTGCAAAAAAAAAAGAAGTTAAAGTTCATTTTAAACTGACAATAGTATGATTTAAATCAGAAAACATCTCATCAAAGAGTAATAAAAGAAAAGGGTATGAATCTGAGCAAGTATATTTCGGTATTTCAAATCCTCAACACTAGCAAAAAAGCATTGATATCCAGCCCTACGTAAAGCTGATGGATCCTCTAATCTAATTTTTGAATAATACCATCATTTATTTTACAGTCACCTACGAGCTACACAATGGTCTCTTTTTAATTAAGCGAAATAAACTCATCCCAGAGGCTCATTACAAACCAGCAGGACAGTAATTTAAATGAATACTATATCAAGTACTTTATACGCTGTATATTGTATCTATAATGTATCCACTGTAGACTACTGTAGAAACAGCCTTTTATGTTTTTATAGTGATTTTTTAAACATGCATGATAGAAAACTTAAATAGGAATTTAAGGAAATTCTTGGTCAAAGACCCACTGATGGCTCCTAAATATACAGATACTGTACATTTGTAAAAATCACTTTTCTTGTAATCTAAAGATGTTAGACTGTAGGTCATAATTGGGCTTTAAAGACAGGCCACAGCGATGTGAAATGTTTGTCCTGCTGTTGGTTTTAATCAGGAAATGTTCACTTATTGTTTTGACTGTTAACTAGCAGCAGTGGCAGATTAACGTTCAGTGTAGGGGCAAAGTTTCATCTGCTTTGATAAACAAAATATATAAATGTACAGATTCCAGTGGTGGAATCTAACTATGTACTCAAGTACTCAAGCACAATTTTGAGGTACTTTACTTGATTACCTCCATTTCAAGCTACATTTTACATTCTGTATTGAACTTTTTACTTTGCAAATTAAGATTTTACATATAAACCACATGTTCATAAAATATCATGCAGTTAAAAATGTAACTACCCCCAATGTGTATAAATTAGTTAAACCAGCTACATATAAAAATGCTGCTTACATGTAACAGTCTATTCGATTAATATATATTAATACACACTGACATTGGCCAATCTACTGCATAATGAGTAAGCTACTTTTACTCTTTGTTTATAATACTTATGCACTTTTAGTTCAGTTCAATTTTGAGTGCAGTTTTACTTGTAATTTAGTACTTTTATACTGTGGTATTGCTAATTTTACTTGAGTACAGGATGTGAATACTAAAGCATTCTCCAATGGGACTCCTTGGACTTCGCTGTGAAACCCCCTATCATCAGAGCATATTAATAACACAACAGTACTCATAAACCTACGGATGCAGCAGCTACATGAACTCATCTTACACTGAGCAGGATGCGCGCGCGCGTGTGTACGTGTATGTGTGTGTGTGTGAGACAGAGCCTCAGGAGTTGCGCACAAACGTACCGTTCCGTATAACCTTCCCCTGCTGTTCATTGCGACAAACAGCTCACTCCTCACTCCGAACAGGCTGATCACTCCTCGGTCCACGGTGGAGATCTCTATTAGACCTAAACGAAACACAGTGTTAGAAAGCAAAGACAGTGTCTCACTGCGACTGGGGAAAAAGTCGTGTAACTGGCCAATGCAGCAGTGATGGGTGTAACCTTGCAGGTGCATTGCGACTGGATGATGCTCTCTCTGCTCAATTAGCCCTTTGGAATATCAACCTATTTCCACTTTAAACATTAAGATGCCCTGTTAGTGTAGTTTACAGCGTGCTGACTGTGGATCTGCTTGTGTGTGTCCTGCTGTAGCGGGACGCAGGGTAAAAATAAGTTAGCGTCTAAACTGGGTCCCAGCATTCATGTCATGTTTTTGGCTTGGGAGGATATTTCGCACTGCACGGATGTAAGGCTCAGTACACTGTTTTTGCTTTCGGAAACTTTCAACCATGCCGACACCTCTTATTAAATATCATGCAAGACAAGTGACCCGCTCTAACTTTTACACAGCCTGCGCATAAGGTTACGCCGCTTTTTTCGGGTCCTGCGCTTTGACGGATGCAACTCACTGTATTGGTTCTCATTGTGTGCACCGCTTATCCTGCCATCCGGGAGCACCTGCAGGTGAAACCCAATGCCCACGTTGCAGTACAGTCGTCGCACTCTTTTGATGCCCTGCAAATAGTCACTCTCCCAGTTCAATTCCGATTTCCCCCCCGCTATACCCAGATAGGAGCGAGAGAAGAGGGTCTCCCACTTCTTTTCCAAAAAAGTCGCATTAGTCCTGCTCGGAATCGGATAAGATGAAACGATCCCCCAGAGAGAAGTCCACAGTACAATAACTGCTGGCAGCGTCCAGTGCGTCCTGGCCCCACGGGGCATACTGTAGAGGCACCTTTTCGCAACGGCCATCCAGTTTACCTTTGGGGCAAGTCACCTGCCCTAGAAATGAAACTCTTCTTATTTTTTGCCCTTTGGCATGGTGGTGGTAAAGGCTTATTTCGGGATCAAGGCAGATCAAGGCCCCATAGCCCGAGATCTGAGCAGAAGGAAAGGGACAGAGCGCGTCGGAGCTTGAATTGGTGCCGGTGGCGATGATCATCTTTCGCCGCTCCGCGCCTCTGTACAGGCAACGCTGGCCGTGGAGGGGACACACCACTCACTGCAAAACCAGCTCACCTTGCTCGACTCTCACATCCTAAAATGACATCACTGTGACTTCACCGCTGCACCCCCCATCAAAAGTAGGAGATGGGAGGAGGAGGAGGAGAGAGAGAGAGTTACAGGACCCCAGCAGCAGCAGATCTGATAGGAATGATGGGGGGTGCTGCACCTTCACATCAGCGTTAAACAAGCCGGATGTAATAAGAAGAAGCGTTTCCCGTGGTGCTTTTCAAAAAACAAAACAAAAACAAAATCCTTATCGGCCACCTGTGTCCTAACTCTTACAAGTAGCCTATCACATGCTCCAGTGAGTCCCCACATCACCTCATCTCCCAAAACCTCCAAACCCAATTAAATATCTACACATTCAAGGAAAAACCTTAAGAAATTATTCCAAACAAAGCACCAGCAGACACTGCATTCAGCGTTTGATGAGTATGAAAATGATGTGAATCATATGCAATGCCATCAGCCACAACCATCAAATCTCAACCCAATTGAGAACATAAGCTCATCCATAAAACGGCAAATGAGGAAATATAATTTAGAAAGAATTGGTTTATACCTCCAGCAGGTTTACCAATACAGTACTATGCAGAGGAGCATTAGCTGTTCAAGCAGATGTAGGTATCATCAACATGGTTTTTACTTCAATTTGTCACCCAAACATTTGAAAAGAAAAGGAGCAATATGAGTACATTTAGCTTAAAATAATAAAGTTCAGTGAAAGTTTAGTAAAGGATAAAACAGAGTGACAGCAAACACTATTTGACTTCAGAGCTGTCCAGTAAAACTGCAGTCTGATTTTCTGGCCAGCTCCACTGTAGAAGCTGGGGTTAAAGGCCTTTGGTTGGTCAAAACAAGACATTTAAATACTTTCTAAACATGGGCATTTTATATTATTTTTGGACATTTCATAGACAATTAATCAAACTACTTTCAGACTGTTAATGTAAACAATTGTGAGACAGTATTCAAGGTTGGAATAGGTATAACTTTTTAACTTAAACATTACATGCAATGAAACAGTATTTTCTTCTTAATGACATTTTCATATCACAAAAATGTATCTAGAAGATATATTATAGTCTATGAATGTCGCTAAAATAATCTCTAATGAATTTATGGTTACAAGTCCCCAATATTTTCCCCAAGCTGTGACATTGTGAGCTTTTATTTTGAAAGCAAACTAGCCTATTTTTTCAGTCTTCCTGGCTAATTGTGGCTGACCTGATGCAGCTCTTCCTCACATGGGAGACCTGCAGGAGGGGAGGGTGTGTGTCTGTGTGTGCGTGACTTTCATTGGTGTTGAGCAATCATGGGATGGATGGATGGATACTGTGTCCAGAACCCAAATCGGGACGGTAGTCATATGTCCTGGCAGCCTGCTGCCTTATTTAGAAGGAAGGTGTAAAAACAGTCACAGCCAGTCACAGGAGAGCAAGTGGCAATTCTGTCTGACACTTCCTTAGCCGTTTGTTCAGGAAGTTTACATAACCAGATATTTTGCCATGCTCAGATTGCGAGTTATTATTGTAAGTAACACATCCTGCAACTAACAGAATAATATAACCTCCATGAATCAAATACATGGCATTGTTTTGGTTATTGCACAGGTCAAGAAATAATGTGGCATAGGAAACATGAGAAATGCCTGCAAATGGTGATTGTAATAGAGTGAAAATCACCAATTAACTTTAGAAAAATTTACAAAAAGTTATTTTCTGCTTTACCTTTCACTTATAAATAATTTTTGTGGACAAAATGTTAAATCAAACAAGTCTAAGCAGAGTGCACCGGGTTCACCCTCCTTTACATCCCTGTTTGCATCCCATCCTTCAGGGTGCTGGTAGGAGATAAAGACTCGGGGGAATTCCCAACGCTTCACAGAGCCCCAGGCTCTTTGGCCCCGAGGTGCTCTCGGCTGCCAGGGAGTCTCAGGCCCACCTTAGCAACTAGAAAGGCCTTGTTGCTGATAAACAGCAGTGGCAAGAAACAAAACAAAAAAAAACAACAAATAAACAAAACATTTCATATATCCTTCAATGTGGAGAATAGTATATGTTTTACTGCACTACATTTATCTGACAGCCAAAGTTATCTGCAGATACATTTTTTTTTAACTCAAAAACATGTAATGTGTTCATGCATTGTTATAGATTAACTACCCAAGAGTATTTAAAATAGAAATAATTAGCTCAACCTGCTACAACAAAAATACTTACACATAATACATCAGTATAAAAAACATTAATATAATCACGTAACACTCACATGAGCCATTTTTCCGCATTATGAGTACATTTAACTTTTGATACTTTGGCGATAATACTTGTGTACTTTTTTTGAATTGTAATGATTTGTGGTATTGCTATTTTTACTTAACTAAAGGATCTGAATACTTCTTTCAAAACTGGCCTTCAATATGTCCTTTAGCTGCACCAGTATGCATCTAGGGATGTTGTCCTGTTGGTCGTTCCACCACCCTCATCCACAACGAAATATCTAAAAAATTACTTTTCTTTTTTTACAGACATTCATGTTCCCCAGAGGATGACTTTTACTTTCTGCTGTCTTCTACTAAACATCACCGTGTTTTCACTGTCTTTGTACAGTAAGTATGCTAGCATGCTGGCGTTAGCATTTAGACCTGGTGTGCCAAAGTACAGCTGCTAGCATGGCTATACACTCTAAGTCTTGTTAATTTCAATTTGCTGAAAATCCTTAATGTTTGCAACAGAAATTTACAAAACAAAAACAAAATGATCATATACAATTCTAGTGAAAGGTTGCTAAATGATAATACTTAATGGTTGCCCAGTCCTACCAATCAGAACTTGCATATTAAACCTATAAAAAGGAAAACTAATCAAATTTCTTGAACAAGTGATGTCTTTCTTGACCTTTGTAGAATCATCCACTGATTAGAAATCTGATTTAATTCATAGCATCATTCCTCCGAAACATCACTGACAGAAAGAAGTAAAAGACAAAACCACGACCTCAGAGCCCCACTGGAGCAGACAAACTGGACCACACTGAATAGCAAATTAATGAGACAGCCTCTTGATTTGCTGTGTAAGCACATGGCTATGCAGTCCAGGCAGCCTGAATAGACAGAACTAGTGGGTCATTGACAGAGTGTGACTTCAATCAATGGGGAGTGGGCAATGTTAATGAGATGGTGCTGAGCTCTTGAGATTAATTCACCTAATACTGTTATACTCATATGACGCTGAGGCTGCTTTATTAGTAATAACACCTTTCTGAAATGCAAAAATCTGAAGCAAATGCACTTTTGATAGATTTGCACGATAAGACTACACCCAAAGAGTATGCCTGCAACGAAAGATTATTTTCACTATTGATGAATTTGTCAATTATTTTCTTGATTGATAGTTAGGACAGGTGATATCTCTATGTGTCTTGTTTTGTCTGACCAGCAGTTCAAAACCACAGAGATATTCAATTTACAATAATTTAAAATAAAGGAATGAACACAAGAATGATTGAAGACTGACTTTAGGTGGTCTAGTATGGGTCAAGCTTTAAAAACACTGGATCCTACATTTACCATAATGCAAGTCAATCGTGTCTTTTGTTACACCTCCTTCCTCCTAACTTCTCTTCTTCTTCTTCTCCTTTTTCTTCTTCTGGGTTAGCAGTAGTAGTACTCCTCGTGACGAGTTGACAGAATTCTATGTGTAAGAACCAGTGAAGTTCCCCTTTAAACTACTACTCGATGATCCAAATAGTTGCAGATTAAATTAACCCAATTAATCATTTCAGCTCTAGACTGGAGCAAGAAAGAGGACAGCAAGTGGATTTTATCTCTAGACTCGCCTTGGCTGAATATATTGGAGCTAAAGTAGAAAAGCAGAAAGCAAGAGAAAAGTGTCTGCAGTTTACTATTGTCAGGTCAGCTGTCTTTATTGCAATTATAGGATCTATTTAGTGCACACACCCACACATCAATCAGAAAATGGACCAGAGGGAATAAACAGCTTTTGTGCATATTACCAAAGTGTAAGTAACTGGATACAGGAGGACGCAAAGCTCTTTCAATTACTGTTTTATTAACGTGGGATTTAAAATACGATATTGAAACAACAGCTGGGGAGACACAGAGATGGAGGAGGGATTTCTCTGGAATGACATCAGAATCGCTGGCATAGACAGGCAATAATACTCACAGTGTATGTACAGACGACATATCAAGGCTTCACAGGCCTTCAAATAAAGACACAGGATTATGATTTTAAAAGCACAACAGTTAACGTAAATGTTATATTATTACATTACATGTATCGCAGAGAGGGTCCTCACTAGAAAAATTACAATATAGGTAGTTTGTGCAGCATGGTGGGTGACGTTAATAGGCAGAAAGTCCATGTAAGGAGGCAGGATGGGATGGTTGGATGCGTCAGACCCTGGACTTACAGGGTTTGAGTTCCATTTGAAACCAAGTAAATGTTGAGTTATTTTGAGTTTTAACTTAGCGTTACTGACTTCTGTCCGTGACCTCCTTCATGTGACCTATGTCATGTACTGACTTTAACCAAGTACTTTTTGTTGCCTATAACTACCCAAGTTGCCTATTTTACAACATTAACTACGTGTTAAATAATAATAATAATAATAATAATAATAATAAATGTTAAATGTCAAGTGACTTAGGTCACGTGACTTATGTAATGTAGTTAACGCCTATGTTACATGTTCATATGTGTCATTTTGGGAGGCATGGACAAAACAACCTAGGTTGGAGAACTTGTTGGTATCGCAAGATAAAAAACAACTGCAAACAAGGCTATTCTGTACTCAGAAAACAAACAGCTGCCCTGTGTGTAGTACGGCTGCTGTGTCAGAAAACAACTATCCAGTTGGAATACGTAAATTACGTGCTCAACACAACATACCCACAGAGCTATAGATTTATGAGAGGCCAGATACAGTCTACAACTTTGTATTTGTATGTATGAATGGAGTGTAGCAACTCTATAGCCATGCTAACGGCTTTGTGAGGGTGTTTTCAGGTGTGCATGCATGCTCAAAATGACAATGCTAACATGCTGATGTTCAGCAGTAAAGTTTTCACCATCCTAGTTTTGCGTGTTAACATGCTAACCATCTAAAC